TATATATATATATATATATATATATATATGGTAGTAAGTTAAAGTTGTGCTACTCCCATCCTGCTTTTAAGCTTTTTTCTAGCCATTTATGTATTTTTTTATACATGCACATTTTTAAGTTAGTGGAATTATCCTGTAATACCATCTTAAAGTTTACTTTTTTCAGATGACTATTTAAAAAATTTGCCTGTTTTTAAAAACAAGGCCCAAGGGCTGGGGATTTAGCTCAGTGGTTCTGCCTCCTGCCTTGCAATCGGAAGGTCCTGAGTTCGATCCCTGGTACCAAAAGAAAAAAAAAACCAAACCTTAAAAACAAGGCTCACATGAGAAGTGGGAGTGGTATTGGAGGGAAGGAGGTGATAAGACTCACATATAAAGGGTATGAGCCCAATGCCTAGACCAGTGGTGGCGAAACTGTGGCACTCGCTGCATCAGGCTGTTTGTATCCTTGAAAGCTCTAAAATTACCTGTGGAGCAAAAAACATTTGAAGTTCTGTTGCATCTCATGCCCTTGCTGGTGATCATTGTTATGGTTAAAACTTTTTAAAAAATGTTAGCCAATTTAAGTAACAACACTGTTTTCTGTTCTGTACAAGCAATTTAAGAGGCATCATTTCAGAATTAAATTCAACGAGTTTATTTTGGTAGCTACTTATAAAGAGAACAGTTGTGTTTAGAGATGACTTTTTTTTTAAACCAATGGTCCTCTGTTCTTGCCTGTTAAGAAACAGTCATTCAGCATTTACAGCATAGAGTTTTAAAACCAAGATAATGCTCATAACATTTTAGTTAATAGAAACTCAAACCTGAGCCACTTACTTGGCATAGAGACCTTGCCTAGGAATTATCCTGGTCCTCACATTTTCATGAGGAGTATTGGCTGACTTCACCCCTACCACCTGGCCCTACTCACTCAACCACTACTAAATGCTATACTAATAACTCAGTATTTTTAAAGGCATTTAAAGAAGGAAATTTTTGAGTGCTGTTCATTTTTATTTTGGCTTGAGAGTTTTAACTTGTTGCTAAGGTTATTAATTATAATTAATCTTTGGTTTTTTTTTTTTTTTTTTTTTGAGGCAGAGTCTTGCTATGTAGTGCAGGTTGACCTTAAACTCACTATGTAGCCCAGGCCAGCCTTGAACTCTCGACAACCCTACCTCAGCCTCCCAAGTGCTGGGATTACAGACATGCGCCACTATGCCTGGCCCAATCTTTGTAATATTTAAATTGAAAACTTTTATCAAGTAGGTAATAAAAAGTTTTTCATTACAATAGCTTTTTTGCCTAGAGTATATTCCTTGGATCTGTGGTGCTTTATGCTTCTTTAGACCCCAAGTGCTAAAGCTTTGGCTTAAAATTCTAAGAATTTGGTGTGACAGTCTGTAGCAAGCAGTATTAAACTTTGTAGAGCTACTGTTTTCACATGCCCAGTTTGAGTGTTTCTCATTGGTATCATTCATATATTGCTTTTTATCTTGGGTGGCTCAGACCGTGTGCTGTAGAGTCTTAACAAGTATACAAAGAACTCAGTTAATATTGTGGATGGTGAAACTGAGGCAGAGAAAAGAATTTGTGTAAGGTAAGGGCAGAGCCTAATTTCACTAACTTTCAAATTCTAGTCTTGGTCCCTGTAGTCTCCAACCTTTTTAAAATTATGGTCACCAGTATATGTATAATCATCTGAATTAGTGTTTAGTATGTATTATCAAACAGGGAAGTCAAGATTTTTAAAAGGTTGAAGTGTTAAAATGTAAGTTGTAGTAATTTCTCCTGTGTTTCCCCCGGGGTGCACACCCCTGCCTGGAGACAGTGCTCCAGAAAGACCTTTCTTCTGGCAGAAGAGGCAGCCTTGGGGACAGCTGGAGGGCAGTTGGTAAAAGGTGTGGGGGATTTAAATGGAGTGATCTTTTGTAGCTTTCTGGTTTTAAAGAAACAGCCTTTCTTTCTGTGCAAGGCTGAAAGATTGAGAGGAAAGGCCTTGAGAGAGGTGAGCTTAAAAGATTGAAGTAGAAGCCTTATTTGTTTCTTCAGAGTTGACCCAAGGGGAGAGGCTGCCTGCCCTGCTAGCTTCTCCCAGAGAGATGGCAGTGCCTTTTTTGTTGTTGTTAGGCAGTTTATAGAACCAGGATAGCTTGGTAAGCGTCCTCTCTGTGCCTGATGTGACGTAGCATTGTGGAGTATGCAGCATGCATGCTAAGTACAAATGGTTGTGTTTGGCTTGTTGCTGCAGCATTTTTGAGGATTTCTTAAAAACCAATTATCACTAGCTAGAGTTGGATATGTGCAGATTATTGAAATCATCATTTTGTGGAGACCAAACTTTTTAACTTGAATTTTTCTGTTTAGGGTTTGTTTACTTCTTTCCCCACCCCCAACATCTCAGAGCAGAATTCCTTTTCTGAAAAGAACAGATGCCGTTAACTTATCAGGACTTGATACTAAAATGCCTACAAAAATCTTTGAGGTGTTTATTTTCTTTATTTAATCTATATGCAAAGCATTTTGTAATTATTACTGTTAGAAGGCTGTAAGCTGGTGGTTCGCCCACCTTTTTGTGCTCAGGAGATAGATTAGGAATGCCAAATTGACAACTTGGTGTAAAGAAACAGTGACCACTGAAATAAAGCAGAAGTTCAAATGAAAAGCAAACCAGATACAAATGTAGAATGAAAATATCTTTTAGTAAAATGTTAGCAGGCTGTACTTGGAACAGATGCCACATTAATTCAAAAGAGAGCCCAGAAAATGTGGCAACTTTACGATGTCAATGGAGGGAGCCGCAGTAGTTCCTGTTTTCATTGTGTCAAGTTCTTAGTACTACCTCTAGGTCCCGTCCTGTTCTTTATTTTCTGTCTGTATTACATGTTAATATACAAATAGTAAATTCATGCTTAATATTTTTATTTGTGTAATTAAATACATTGTCATAATGGTAGATATTAGGGTAAGAAGCCCATTAACTTGTAAGGCAGCAGTAATGACTTTTGCTTTAAATATGTGTATCAGGATATTTAGAAGCTGTGTCATAAATGGACCCCTCCGCCCAACTCTTCAAGGCACATTTATGATATAAAGTTAATCTAAGAACTGAGTCTTTCAAAGAGGCCTAGCTAGTGCTTTTTAAATGTAGGATTTGGACAAGTTACAAAATTATAAGAATTTTGCATTTTTTTCTCATTTAAATTTGTAGTTATCATTGGACATTTGTTATGATTTTTAAGTAGCTTAGACTCATTCATTCCTTTTTGGGTTTTTTTATGGTGTTTGGGAAAAAGAAGGGGCGATGGAAGGTTACTATACACCATTGGACATTTCCAGAGTGACATTCATTTTATAGAAGATTGCCCTGGGACGTCTCTTGAATTGCTTGTTTCTTGCAGTGCATAGTTAGTGTGGATCTGAGTGTGGAGAGAGGTGGGCTGGGGGCTTTTAACCAGATTTACAGTGTGCCGCTTCCAAGTAGTGCAATGATCTGACCAACAGGGCCATACCCTGTGTGCCTGTAAAGAAGTCTCGTGCGCATGCTTTGAAAAGAGCTACTAGTTTTCTCTCAAGCTAAGTCTACAATTTAGTAATTTGATGAAATGTTAAGTTTTTTCTCATTTAATTCACAGGAAGGGAAGCTTTTAGTGTGGCAGAAGAGTACAGTGGCTAAGGGTATTGGTGCTTGAGCCAGTTTGCGCAGGCTCAAAGCCTAGTTTTGCCATGTATTAGCTCTGTGACTGTGGCCAGACCACTTGTCCCTCTGTGTCTCTATCTCAGTTTCTTCCTTCATAAAATGTGAATAAATAATAGTACTACTCTCTGAGGTTGTTACAAGGAATGAGTTAACGTATAAACTGGTAGAAGTTGAACATGTAGTAAATGGTAAATAAATGGTACTTGGCAGGGTGTGGTAGCGCATGTCTGTAATCCAGTACTTGAATTTGGAGGACTGCAAGTTTGAGCCCAGCCTTGGCAATTTGGCTACATAGTGAGACACTGTCAAAAAAAAAAAAATTTAAAAAGTGGCTGGTGATGTAGCTCAGTGCAAAGGCCCTGAGTTCAATCTGCAGTACCAAAAATAAATAAATAAATAAAGAAATGGTAGGTACTTAATCTTAGTTCTCTGCTCTTTTCTTCCCTTCTCAAGAACTGAGAAAATGTTACCCAGTGGGAAAAGAGCTTGGGCTCTGTGACCTTTAACCCTGGGTTGGAGATTTGGTGTGACCACTTAAAAGCTGTGGATGTGTGTGTGACCTTAGAGTAGGTATTGAAGCTTCCTTCTATAAAGATGTACTATGTACATACCACGTACCAGCCACTGTGCTGGTCATTTTGACTGCAGTTTCTTCATCTGTGACAGAGGGATAATACCAGCCTCTCCAGTTTACTTGAAGATAAGGAACTTTTAAGATACATACCAATGAAAAAGACCTTCTCTTATCATTATTATTGTTTTTGTTGCAGTCCCACTAAAAGTTTATGGCAAAAGAGTAAATGTAGAACAATTTAACTGGAGAGTCTCCTCCCCCATGCCAAGGTGAGAAAAATGTGTCTGCTGAGTTCTTGTTTGTAAGTACTTCTGGGAGAAATAGAAAATATGGATATGTTAGTTTCAACAGAGCCTTTAAAAAAATTTCAGGGTACTTTGTATTTATTAAAACTCTCCATGACATAAAGCTTTCTTTTTTCCCCCCAGCAACTGATGAGACCAGTGCCAAGATACTGAGGCAGTTTATACTTAGTAGGGTCACTTAGCATCTAGTCAGCTGGTCAGACACTGGGTCTGACAAATTGTGCATGCTTAATCCTGAATGTGTACACGAAAGGTATTTACTATATTTTATTTCATCTGTATTCCTAAATCAGTGTTGCACCTTTGTGAACAGAAATTCCAAAAAGTTTGTTTAAAATAAGTGCTGTACTTTAGCTCAAGAAATATTTTAAAAATTAAGCAATGACATACTAAACGGTATAGGAGTTTTTTGAATTAAAATTGTACAGTTATTTTATGATAAGTAGAGTAGTCAAGAAATAAAGTTTTATATTTCTAAAATTAACATGTGTATGACATTAAATGTTTTGTTTGTTTGCAGTGCTGGGGATAGAACCCAAGTCTTGCACATGCCAGGCAAGCACTCTACCACTGGGCTACATCCCTAATCCTGTGCAGTTTTCAGTTCAGCCACATAAAGGATCTCTAAAAGTTGCTTCACTTGGTTGGATGGAATTTAGGAAATTTTAGAAGTGTATTTCATTTTAATTTTTTTTTTTTTCTTTTTTTTTTGGTATTGGGGATCGAACTCGGGTCCTTCCGCTTGCGAGGCAGGCGGTGGAACCACTGAGCTAAATCCCCAGCTCATTTTAATAACCATATGGGTTAGAAGCACTCTATAGATGGATATATATATATATATATATATATATATATAGGTACCGGGGGTTGAACTCAGGACCTTGCACTTGCCAGGCAGTGCAGCATCACTGAGCTAAATCCCCAGCCCGGAAATAGACTCTATAAATCTTTGTGGTTGACTTAAAGTATTAATACAGTTTTGAGCTGGACGTGGTGGCACGCACACTTGGGTGGCTGAGACTAGAGGATCACCACAAGTTCGAGGCCAACCTGAACTGCATAGCAAGACCTTGTCTAAAAAAGAAAAAAAAAGAATTAATGCAGTTTTGAAAACTAGTTTATCTCAGCTTAATTTGTAAAAGGTGCTACTGCGGGATCCTGTCCTGTGCATTAGTACTTAAGGAAAGAAGCTGCCTTTGCTTGCTCACCTCCCTACCCCATTGCTTTTCTCCTCTTCTGTGAGCTGTCTCTACGCTGTCTCTTCTGTCTATACACTCTCTCCCTGCCTGCCCTTCATTACTCCCTCCAAAGCCATCAACATTTTACTCTGTGCTTTAGAAATGAAACATCATTGTAATTATTATCCCCAGTTTTGGACCCTCAGCCAGGATTTGGATAAGATAGCTTAAAGTCATTTGCAAAGTAACTGAATATTTGTGAAATGTTTTCTGTCTAGACTAAAGAAGAGAATAGAAAAACTCCTTTTTACCCGAGAAGTTGCTGCATTTTCTGATAGAGTGCAAGAGAAGCATAAAGGCTTATTTAACTAAGATAAGCTTTAACTTACTAGATTGCTCTCTGTAGTCCTAATCAGAGAAGAAAATGGACCTTTTGATGTTGCTAATTCCAAAAGTATTTTATTAATTAATGGAGAGGACTAGAATTTCTTCCTTTGGTTTGTCAGTTAAAAAATATGGTATGATTCCTTGTTATTATGTATTGATCCTTTTTAAAATTTTTTTTTGGTTTTTTTGAGACAGAGTCTTGCTATGTAGTTCAGGCTAGCCTTGAACTTACGGGCAATCCTCCTGCCTCAGCCTCCTAAGTGCTAGGATTACAGGCATGCACCACCACATCTGGCTAGAACCTTAACTTTATAGGATTTTAATAAACTTCTTTTTATGGAAATTTAAAGACATACAAAAGTAGAGCGAGTAATACACAAACCCCATGTATGTTTTACCCAACTTTGATAGTTATTAGCATGTTGCCAGCCTTTACCTATAGTGTATATAACATACTAAGAAAGTATGTTTTCAGACACTGTGCAAATAGGTGCATTGATGTACTCAAAGAAAAAGTGAGTGTGAGGATGTTAACTCCTTGTATACACTGCAGATTTAAACTGGTGATCCCGTCCAGGATAGTATTGTTTTCATTTGTCCTTTGGCTTATTGAAGATGTCTGGCCCACTATTAGCTTAATGAAGAACTCTGTCTGCAGGAGAGACTTTTTTCTTACCCCATCTATCTTTAGAAATTCTGAGATTATTAGTTTTTCAATTCACTGTTCTTAAAAATAAGTTGTATTTTTTTGTACATGTGCCTATCTGGGATTTTTTTAACAAGAGACCAGTATCGCTCATTTCTAGCATGTGAAGGGTACTACATGTTGCACAGGGTTATAAATCACTGGATCTTGCTTTGCACTTGGTATCTACTTGTGTACTTCTACACACTCTATTTCTATTTAACCCGAGTGTATGTATTCGGGAAAACGTGTTATAACTTGTAAAATAGTTTGTTGAGCGGGGAATTTTGACTGCCTGCTAACTTTAGACCTAGTAATGAGAGTTAGGAGTGGAACTTATTTGCGCCCTCGTCTGCTCTTCTGCTCCTCTTTGGACCTACTGGTAAGTTCTACAGGTGCCTGCAGTTGTGGGGCCTGCTCATTACTAGTCTCTATAAGGTGACGGTAGCCTTATTTCTGATTTTCTTTGGTTTTATTAGTTTAAATTAGACCCATAGGGGTAATTATTCTTCCCCAATGCAGGAGGAAGCTTAGTCAGTGAAGTTGTGGAAACCCCTGTGCACTGCAATGAAAATGTATCTTTAATGTTATGATGTTGTTTGGCATATTTCATGCAAGGAGCACACTTATTTAACAGGACCTTTAATAAGCTAGCCCTCTACCAAAGATAGATTTTTAAAAAATTATACTGAAGACTTTATAGTATTCCCTAGTAGAGTTCGTCTAGAATGGTGAAACCTTTCTAAAATAAAACTTATTCCTTTAACCGGTATTCATTTAAGTGGGTTTCTCTGTACTTGGTTTCCATGGAAATAGTGAATAGCTAACGTTATTTATAAGGTGGAAGTAAAATAGGGTGCCTAATGGGACCCCATGCTGCTTTGATAAAGAGACATAGGGAAAAAAATCCATGCTCATGGGATTTTTTTTTTTAAACAAGGTTAATGGAAGCCCTGATTTCAGTTTCTGTAACAGAACATATTTTTGATTTTAAAGGCTAACATTAATATCAAGCAAACAACTTCTTTTTGAGGTCTGTATTGCTTTCACTTTCAAGTTTTAAGACCACTTACCAGTGTGATTGAGGCTTTATGCTTCAGATTCCTGTTTCTTTGTGGTTTTTGTTTCAAAAGTTAAAATTCCCAGCATTATTGTAGTTGTTTCTCTTTGACGTTTCAAAGTACAGATAAAAAAGTAAATGTTCATTAATGATAGCAGTAATGATAAAGAATCCATAAGTCAGAGGATAGGTTGTTTTTTTTTTTAGTGTAAATTTCATGGAACCATTTTTAATGTTTAGGCCTTAAGTCAGGGTTCTTTGTGTTGCTAAACCTGTGTAGTCAGAGAGAAAAGCTTCTAATTTTCTTTGGGGATGGAAAGAGGAAAAATCTTAATTTCTCTTTCCCTTTTAAGAAGTGGATTGTTGCCAAAGCCTTTTAACTGAAATAACTGTTCATTCTTTTAGTCTTTGAAATGTGGATTTGGGATAAACCTTGGCTTTTTCTTCACTTCATCGGTAAGGCCCACTCTAGGTTTTCTAGGCCTATAGCAAAGCCTTGCATTTCTAAAGCTCCTTCAAGTGAAAGAATATCATCCCCTTTGTGTTTGTGTGTAGGGTGTGTGTGTGTGTGTGTGTGTGTGTGTGTTTTACTAATTTTTCCATAGCCTGAAAGGCACCTGCTCATTTTCCAGCCTGGTGAGTATAGTAGTGCTATATTGAGAGGGGAGGCAGGATGGAACACAATGAAGTGCTATGCTTTTTATTTAGTTAGTTTTGGTCATCCTTGGCAGCTTGTGATCATTATCCGTTTGTCTGGAAGTACTCTGATTTTTCTTGGCTATCAATGCAGCAGGAGTTTTCTTATGTTTAAAAGCAAAGATATATTTTGGCTATACTTAGGCTAGCTCCAGCAGGGGAAGAGTTTTTGTTTATATGTGTGTGTGTGTGTGTGTGTGTGTGTGTGTGTGTGTTTCTTTGAATAAGCTTCTGGCTGTAGTTGTGTTTATTGTGCTTTAATTTATAAAAATTTGATTGTTTTAATCGTGTTAAATTTATTTTTATGTGAGATACTTTACCTGTAGCATTTCTCTAGTTTTCTTTATACAGGTTGATGTTATTTTATTAAATTGCTTTATTTATTTATTTTTTTTTAGTTTATCCTTTTCTTGTTATATTTTTTAAATTTGGTGTTTACCAGTGACCTTGCTTGGTGTCTTTTATTTGAATTATCTTTGTGCTGTAGAGACATAGGAATTTGGGTCTATTTTCCCATTTTTGAGAGAAGAAGTCCCAGTAGTTGCAGTTAGTGCAGTAGAAAGGGTTTTCACAGATGCAGTGCTGGGCATTCTTCCTCCTCCTTGGTGCTTAGGGTTTGCATTCAGAACTCCCATTAGTGTTAATAGGAGGCACTTGCTTAAATCCCTGTACACCAAGATAAGCCCAAACTCTTTTATAATGCCTTGTAGATACTGAGTTGTTTTTTTGTTGTTGATGGGAGGAGTTTTGGCCTTAAGATTAGCTGAGTATTAGGATACAGTTGAGTTGTCTTGGGATATGAAGTGATTTACTGAGTCTGATCTGCAATTAAGTTTTCATTATGATTAGACTCAAAACACACTCAGTTCTGTGAGGTGTAGAAGCTTGTGAATAAGGATTTTTGTACTTTATAGCATGATGAAGCAAGATTTCTCTTTTTTTGTTTACTACTACTCAGCCATAAAATAAATTATTTTAATGGCTTTTCTACATATTGTAAAGGGACTTAATACATTTTTCTTTTTTAACTTAGAAGCCTTCCTACCATTACTCTGACCCCCAAGTCTTGTCAGCTAGTACGGCCCACATTTTTCAGTCATGTAGAAGTTAATATGCACTGTTTTAGAGTTTAGACACTTTATCACTAGTCAAGTGTGAAATGATCACTATTACTACACCTGTCTGTGAATGGGATTTTTATTATTTTTATTTGTATATAGTCTAATGGAAGTATTCCTAGATTGAGA